AGATAGATAGATAGATAGATGCGCTACATCCATCCTAACATATACGTATGTGTAAATGGCAGTATGGTCCACAAGAAACAACCATCAGCCAAGGCGTGTTGGCCACCTATCTGCATCCAGGATAGATCGTACAAGCTAACTGCGTTTCGGGTTGCATCAAGATCAGCAAGGATACCCTAGGAGAACTCGAAAATCCTCTTCCACTTTCCATGTCCATTTTCCTGTCGCTGACACACTCACATCGTCACATCGCCCACAGTCAAGATACCGAGGACATCCGAGGACCCAAAATCGGATCACCATTTTCACCTGAAAATTGCCATGAATTATGGATGATTGTATATTGGTGTTAGGTATCATATGATATGTACATATGTATACGGCAAATGCCTGGGCTTTGCCCGGAGCCGCAACCACGACAGGCAACGCATCATCATCATCATCATCATCATCATCATCATCAAACCCCTATTGAAGATCTTCAATGAATGTAGAAGTGAAACAGGGGTGAGAGAATTCAACACTTATTGAAGATCTTCAATGAATGTAGAAGTTCAACGGGTGGGAGAATTAAACCCTTATCGAAGATCTTCAATTACTGCAAAGCCCAGGAGTTGCGCGTATATATGTATATGTATATATAGTATATTTTATATAATAATATATATATATAAACTGTGCTCAAGTTTCAGTCACATCCCTCCTCCAGGCAGGTGCTCAGCCCATCCAAGCGCTTGTAATCTTTGCCTCGATGTTTTCGCGGGTCGAGCACCTCCCAAGTCAGCGTAAGGCAGTCGCTTTTGTCAACGGATGAGTTTAAAAGGAAAATCTTGACCAGAAACCATGGTGAAAAACCATCAAACATGGGGTTTCCTGCAGATTTTCGTGCCATCCAATTCTGGCACAAAAGGATGGAATTCCTTTTGTGCGCCCCCATGTTTGCTTAAGGATAAGGACAATCTGCAGCGTGCGTGAAGCCATCCCTCAGGTTGCAACCTCCACTTCGGCTTCCGTTTCCTCCTTGCCATTGACGGCTGCCATCAGGAACCATGGGAAAGGCCGAAGTCTGCTGGACCTACAGCATTCTGTGATGGCCCGAAACCTGGGTGATCTGGCTAGAAGCTGATGAAATATGACAACCCAAATGGAATGGCACTTGATTCTTCACATGTGAGGGAACACTAAAGGCTGGCCAGATAGGAAGGGACACCCTGAACGCACCACTGTCTCCAATAAGCTTTGCACTGAGATGGATTGCTGCGCAGTGTTGGCTCATGAATGCTGTCATGTTGTCTGTGAACTCTGCTTGCCTTGCAGTCTATCAAAGCAGTCCAGGTGAAATAAAACATATTATAATTCCATGTATATATATAATTATATACATTGGAAGAATATGGAAGAATTGCGTTTTTTACACATGGGACTGCCCTGCAAGTGCTTGGGGCAAACAGTCCTTTTGCAGCTTTATTTGGGTTGCACGATGTTGCACGGCGGCGCTGTTCGCGGCACTTGTGACACAAGTTTTCCATGGCTCCGCTTTCTGCATTTGCAAGGAGCCAAGAGGCTTAACTAATAACGCTAAGTTTCTAACTGCACAAGAAACCTCGTAGGATCTCAAGGGTTGGGAAGTCGTTCGCTCCCTCAATGGCAATGGCGACCGGCTACCAGAACCGAAGCTCAGGGCACTAAACCTGTCTGCACCTTAGCCTCCTATAGTCCGGCAACCAGCAACTAACTAACAGTAGAAATCATAAATTTGTTCAACGCAGATCCCTCGCTGATCGCATGCTCGAATGGTTGAAAGCAAGTAGGGCACATCAATGCAAAGAGCCCACTGTGTTGAAGCTGGCCCTGGCACACCATCTGTTGGATATGCAAAGCGCGAGACGATTTCACAACCTGCAAGGCTGGAGAGTTCCCTGTTGATAGTGGCGTCATTCCCTTTGGCTGAAACCTTGACTTGCACTTGTTTCTGGGCAGAGATCTGGAGCACTGTCATGTTCTCGTCTTGGGCAAGGATCTTGCAAATATCGGTGAGGGCCTCCACTAAAAGGGGCAAACAAATAGGAAGTTCGATGAAGTTCGTTAGTTTGTTAAGTTTTTGTGAACGTTCGTTGATTTAGCCAACCATCACCAACCAAAACAATTGCCAACAGAAAGAACCCGAGCTCACTCACCTTGAAGGTGGGTACCTTCATGATGAACAAACCTTCCACTGGAGATGTTATGTCAGTAATCCGCTCATCCAGGTTCTTCCAGTCTACCTTTGGTGCATCCTTTGGACGGAGGACCACCAGTTGCTCACGGGCGCGGGATTCGTCATAACTCTCTCCAAAGCCTCCAAAGCCAAAGCGTGGCATGGAGAGCAGCGGAATGGCCAGCAGCTTCATCTGGGCAAATAAGACGGTCATCAACAGTCCAGGTACCTTGGGATTGCTTTAGGGTCAAAATTCCCATCCCCAAAATATATCGATAGAACTCTCCAAACGAACCCCCTGGGACCTGTTCATTTTGGGAGCCCATACGGGGTTGCATTTATACAAAATTAGGGGTAAGGGGGATTTTCCTGTTGGACTAAGTTGGATTCCCCAAAGTGTGGATTAACAGGGGTTGGCCAGAAATGAAAGAAACATTAAAAACGTATATCCTCACGCCCTCTGGTAATTTAACATAGCAGTGGAAAATAAACATGTCTAATACGCAATTATCATTTTCCATAGAAATTTTACATTACCAGAGGGTACACAGTCTTCAGCAAATCCAGGTACCAAGGAGGTGACAAAGGCCATGCTTCCAAAGGCCTTCTTCAAGCCAAGCTTCTCCTGCACGATGTTGGACTCTTGAAACAAGACGTCAAAGTAGACTTTCATGAATTGGATGTAGGGGAACCTGTACCAAGGCTCAGTCTCAAGACTCTGGCCGAAGATCTGTAGAATCTCAACTTGCATCCACTCATTGAGTTTGTACCAGGTGTACCTGGGAAATGCATGAACATGCGTAGTGCCCTGTAGTGCTGCTCTCAAGCATAGCACAGGGCATTCGCATATAGAACTCCAAAGTATCTTCAAAGAGAAGCCACAAAAGGATAAAAAGAAAATATCCGCCCGCAAAATTGGCACAATTGAATTATGAATATTATGATTGAATTCCTCAATGCAGCTCACTTTTTTGATCTTCCTGATCTGAATACGTCTCTTCAATCAAGCTACTCCCCGTCATCACTATGCCGATCTTCGGTCCAACCGCTGTGTCGAAGCCTCTCCAGCACTGCAGTGATTCGTGGCAAGAGATGCTCTGGCGGCATCACCTTGGGGCTGACCATGGCTGATCCTCTGACCCGAATGGAAACATCAGTTTATTCACATAGCTGCATAGCTATTGAAAATGACCATTTATAGTGGATTTTATGAAAAATGGTGATTTTCCATAGCTATGTTAGTTTACCAGAGGGTAAGTTGTTTCACATGTTTCAAAATGCATCCGTGATATCCATGTGCATCCCTTTTTTCTTCCTTGTTATTTCCACTATCAAAACCAATATTGATCCCAACGATCTCCCCTCCCCCCCACTGTGGATTTGACCAGCACACGTAGGTTGGAAGACATCCCGAGCAGACATAGATATGATAAACTCACCATATACTCACCATTTAAATCATATTCCTTGCAAGACTCATGCGCCATATTCATGTACTGGGTACAGTGAATACAAACAGGACAACGCGCAAGCAGATTTCATAATATTTCATACTGTTAGCCATATTCCCCGAATCATATCCCTAGTATGGTTGGTATACCAATGGTACAGTATACCCCTAGAACTTTGGTGAAATTTCAGTCCACCACGTTACCTGGTTGCTTCTGTAGCGGATCTCCAGTTGCCGTGTGTTCCCTGTGGCCACCCGCCTCAAACCGTCCGCAGCACCACCAACTCCAAAGGCTCTGCAAAGGTCGACGTTTCGAAGGCCTTGGTGGCGCGGCATCGTTTCGCCCTGTGGCTGTCTTGGATTCAACATGACCGCAAACAGTGTCAGAACAAAAAAACAATGGGTTCCCCAAAAGGTGAATTACTGAAACAAACAAATCAGGGGAGTTATGATCGTCAGCAAATCCAAGTTCTTGAAAAGTTGTTGGATATTGTTGGATAATATCATTTCCACTTCAACATTTCCAATCAAGGTAGCGCCTATATACACACAGAATATTATAACTATATATATACATATATGTATATAATTGTATATATATATATGTGTGTGTATGCAATTATATGCATACATACCCTTAGCTTCCAAACACTACAACTTTGTCGGGTGCAACCTAAAACCTTGGGTATAGCCATGGTCATGCTCAACACCTAGGTTTTGTCACTTGTCGCCCCCCCCAAAAAAAACAGGTTATCTTACAAACTGTCCGAATTCGACATAGCGCTTGGTTCCAAGAGTGTTCATGCTTTGTTGCAGCTTACAGTTATTGGATGTTCATGGATTTTCCACCGGTCAGCCTTCCCGGTCAGGACTTCACATCTACATACACATCTGAAGTAGAAAAAATGCAAACCAAAAATGAAAAAGTACGGGTCGGGAATTCAAAGCCTCTAGCAAACCGTGTTTCACCCGTGATTTACCCGTGTTCACCCATGATATCAATCGCGGGAACTGCTCAAAACTAAACATGTCTTTGTTTTGTTTGGGCTTGCGTTTGGGCGTCCATGACCAGCAAACTGGACAGAGATGCAACATGTTTGGAAGACCCGTTGCATTAAGAAAGTCAAAGCATCTGAGGACATGGTTCTGAAATTTCAGGAAATAAAAATCACCTCGGGTTTTGTTTTGAAACCTTGGGTTTTCGGTGCCACCCTACGAATTTTGTGGGTTCGGAGGGTCAACCTATATATACATATAACCTTTCCAATCTTTCTATAACATAACATAAATCTAGTATAAGGTTGTGGTGTGTCTTGGGTAGCATACACAAGAGTGTTTGTTTAGCTTGTTGTTCTATTTGATTGCAAAACATAGACCACTGACCCGCCATAGAAAGGTTGATCCAGTTGTCAAGTTGGACCATCAAGAACCAAAGGGCAAGAACTGAAGGGCACCCAGCAATACCTAGTAGAAACTGCTAAACATACGTATAAACACTACAAAAAAAAAATATCATAACTACTAGTACATCGGTACCAGTATGTCTTATATACATTTATAATTATACGCCTTCCTGAACGACATGTCATCACACAAATCTTTACAGGCACAACAGTCTTGCAAAGTGTGGATGTGTTGTGCTGCAATCTGGCACATTCTACAAATATATCGGCTACGGGACAGGGAGTGCTGAACCACTGCGCATACTGTGAAAGCACGAATGAATAGAATGAATCGCTTCCCAGCTGAATTGCTTCCCGGCTGAATTGCTACTGTGAAAAGCTAAAGATTGCTTCCCCTTGCATTTTGTATTGCTACATATTGCTACCCAATAATCAGGCCCAATCTGGCTAAACGCCTAGATGCACAGCTTGCCATTTGAGACCATCTGTTGCACCTGCCCCGTGACATCGTGCGGCCTTGCAGTGATGGAATAATATCCAAAGGACGCAGAGACCACTTCAGCGACATCACCTGAATTGCCATCGAAACATATCGAAAGTATCCCCCTTGGTCCTCAAAATGGAGTTACCAACCCCCAGTGGCAAGGACCACCACAAACGCCACAAAGAGGAGGGGCAAATTGAGAATATATACAAGTCCTTGAGAACAACATCAACACCCGGAGATTGGAGGAATTCTCCAGTCAGAATGACAGGAATGCCAAGTCGCAAATATCACGCTGGTGCCCTTCTGTCATCTCTACCCTTCGAAGCGGTGGAGTCAAACCGTTCAGGGCTCGTTGCAGGTTACGCTTTCGTTCAGCGTCCTCTGGGCTTCTGATAGGGGCAGGTGACACCTAGGCCATGACCGCGTTACTTCCGATTCTCCAAAGACATCTTGCATGGACGCATGTGTGTTGAGATGTAACTTATATATATATATATGCTTACATATTCTACCACATTTTAGATTCTTTATGCATGTTAATATTGTCCAATCATTTCTGTTTACAGTAAGTCACCATGCAGCACGCACTTCACGATCAAGGTTTCGTCTATGACTATGGTGAGCTCGCCCGTCGGCCAGTTGTCAGCTGGCGAAAACGACCAGCCCAAGCCACCGATTCAATGAATTAAAATTAGTTTATTCCCCAGTTTATAGCAGTGAATCACTGGCTGATGCATGCCTATACAGGTATACATGGCACAAAAAACAGGGAAGCAAAAACGCATGATTTAAAATCCAGGTCGCTACTCCATGCGACTGCTGTGACTGCTGGCTTCTTCGCAAGGCTTGCGCGGTGCGCCACATTCCTGGTAGCTGTTCCAGCCCCACATATTGGCACATCATCAATGCTTGGCTCCTGGGCTGCACATGCCTTGAGCCCAGAAATGCCGTCAAGGCCCGTGCCCATGTGGTTTTGGGCCTGAAGATGGCATCGGCACTGGGGGGAACCTTGTCATGAAGGGCTTCCAGTAGAGCAGCCCTGAACTCAATCCAGGCCTCCTCATCCAAATACGCTGCCAGCAGATCTGCCACTTCACCAACATTGGAGATATTGCCCATCCGGGACAGCACCACCTCGGCAGTTTTGACTGGGCTATAGCGGTTATTGGATGCTTCTGGTAATTCTTAATTGAGGTTGTTAAGGTTGTCCAAATGCACAAATCATCACAAAATTCACTCCAAATATACCCAAATTTCCTGCAGCCTCATGATTTCATCAACTGGCCTTCCCTCTCCTTGGATCTGTTCTTCCCACTGGTGGCAAAAACCAAGGAACCTGTGTGGCTCGCTTAGGGAATCCCATGCCCTCTATAGCATTCTCCTCCTGAAGTTGGGGAAACTCTTCCAAGACCTTCCGCAGCAAAGTTTCCACTTCCTGCTTGGTCACTTCCACTGCGGCTGCCTCTTGTCACAGCATGGTGTCACCGGGGAGAGGTTAGCAACAGCATAATTTATGCATACTCAATGTTGGATGGAGCCCAACACTGTGCTCACAGGTGACTGCGTTGTAGTGACTGGCAATTACAGTATATACATGTATGTATATATATATGCTTGATCTTTGCTTACCCTTCATGTTTAGTCGTGAATAAACATGCGGCATGATGGCTCTGTCAAATCTGCTCACATTTTCCAGTGCCTCTTCTGTCTTCTTCGGGCCATCCGCCTTCTGGCCCTGAAGCGTGTCTAGGATGTCCTGAACCACACACCGTTTGGCGATGTATTTGATCTGTGGGAATGTTCTTAGTCCCAAGATGCGACAAGGAAGAGCGCGGAATTTTATGCGGTCTTTATACATGTTCAGAACAAGATCCAGAAGCCCTCCCAATCAGTCTGACAAACACTCAAGGGGACGTGAGGGAACGTGAGTTATCTTTCTCACTGCTTGTCCTTGATCACCGCCGCGGCAAACATCTCATTGGCGCTTGCTTTCCCATTCTTGACCTTTTGCATCAAAGCAGGCACCACCAGGAAGGCTTCGGCTGGGATCACATTGGCAAAACTGGAGTCTGCAGGACTGGTGAAATCTACCTGTGCCAGCAACGGCCTCAAGTTTTCCAAAATCTTCAGGACAGGTTCCGCTGCTTGATCCACCAGGGATTGTGCCACCAGTTGCTGTCCACTGCTGAAGGCTTTCAGCCGCTCCTTGAAGATGGCTACTGCAGAAGGAAGTGTGTCCAGCAGTCCATCAATGGCATCCAAAATACCTCGCAGTAAGACCTTGGGAGCTGTCTCCACAAAGGAAGCCACAGCCTCTGGCAGCTGATTGGGAACCACATCAGGCACATCAGCCACTAGCGGGGCTGAAGGTCTGGGCAGATGCAAGGGCGGTTTGTAGAAGCAGATCATCTCATCAAGGGTTGGATCGTATGGCTCCATTTCGAATAGCCTCAGGGCAGCACGAAGTGCTTGGAACTTACAGTAGTCCTTTCAAGTTCTTTCAATGCAAGTGGTAGATTAGGTTAGACAGTGCTGGGACATGATGCAACACAAAAAGTCACCACGAAGTCACTAAGGTCTGGGCATTGAATCCTCCAAGCCTGTGGTCTCCAAAATCTGCCTCCACTCCGAAAGAGGTCTGAACGCTCGAAGTTCCATTTCTTCTTCCTTGTCAGTGACACCCATGACTGCATTAAACACACTGTGGGCCAGCTCCAACATGGGCATCAGTGCTGGTAAAGCATCATGCTCACGAAACAGGAACAGCCCGCCGGGACGAAGTACCCTGACCACCTCTTGCAGGAAACCTGGCAAGTGCTGCTGAGGAATGTGGTGCAAACCTTGCATCATGGTCACCAAATCCACCGAAGCATCCGGGACTTCCAGGAAAGGACCAGCTTCCATAAGCTGCCAGCTGACGTGCGTGCCAACTGGATCAAGAGAACCACGCTCCATCACTGCCGGCACGTCTTCTGAGAATGCGTCATGGGCAACCCAGCACTGTCCCTTCATGTGCAAAGCCCTGCGAAGAGAAAGCACCAGGCGGCCAGCATCTCCAATTGAAAGCAGATCGTGCAATTGTCCGAACTTCCCAAGGTGTGATACGATTGAGCAAACTTCTCTGGTCAATTCACTTTTCTGTGCAGACAATTGGTTCAGCTGCTTCCACGTTTTCAGAGCAGCTCCCACGGGGCCGCTGGACTCATTCACTTGCCTCTGCAAAGCACGGTAGATCTCAATATCATCTCGATTTTCAGGGTCCCGTGCAGCCTTCAAAATCATTCGAAACAACTGTTCATGATCCATGACATTGAAGATCTGAGTCAAGAAGCCATCTTTAAAGTTCTGCCGCAGCAAAGGGTTTGACAACAAGTCGCGGAAGGCGTTGGCACGCCGAGTCGGAACCTGCGGCACCCGAATTTCAGTGATCCTGGGAGCTAGAGACGAAGTGGCAACAACTGGCTGTGACAAGGCCTTGCTGGTGGTGTCATCCCATCCACAAAATATATGCAAAATATTGCAACTTCGTGGTCAATTTGGGATCCCTTGGGCTTTATCATCATCCTGAATCAGGATCTAAAACATTGGAAACAAATGGAAACAATCATAAATGAAGTCCCCTATCCCAGGTGCTATTTTGTATGGCTCCGAAAGGTATTTCGCGCCGTAGTGCCTGAACCACAAGTTGTCGAACAAGCCAAGGGGGTCATAGACCTCCTTTTTCGCAAAGAAGTCCTGGATCTGCGGGTACGCTGCCTCCAGCTGCTCAAAGCTGTAGTGACGGCCTGGCTGAGCAACATACGGAATGTTTAAGCGCCAAACCCAAACGACCTGTGTTGCAAAATATTGCAAAGTGAGAGCCGTACTTGCTGAAGTTTGAGATTTGAAATTGATCTAAGAAAACATGCCTCAAACATCCTCAAGCTGAAAACTTGAAGAAAGATGAAGTCTGCATGTCTCTGCCAAGGGTCGGTAAGGCAAATAAAAGCTTCCATTGAGTGCTAGGGTCTCTTTTACAAACCAATCATGGAACTCTTTCATCTTTGCGTCTGCTGCAGCAGTGCGCGGCAGGCGGTAGTATAGCACGAAGGCAAACATGCCTTCCTGATCTTTGGCGTAAGGCAGGAAGGTATCCACATCCTGTTCTACAAAGCGGATGGTGGTGTTCAACAAAACGACTTCGGTAGTTGCAGCCAGCCGTTTAAATTGGCTTGGTTCTGCTGATCCAGGACTTGAATTGGCTGCAGGGACAGAAGTACTCTTGCAGCAAGAAGGTATCGTCAACCTGAAAAAGTGGCTCGTAGAGCTGTGCGATTGGAACTGCGCTTTCATGCAGCATATGATTGCGCTCCGTCTCACTGCCCCAATCAAGAGCTGTACCCGACTTCTTTTCAATGGCATAGCGAACCTCCTTCATGATGGGCATCAGCCACTTGTACATCAGCCGTGACTGCCAAGACATTTCTCTTGGCTTCCGGTCCAATTTTGAGACCAGGCGAATGTCCTTCTCATGGCTTCTGCGAAACACGAAAAAGTCAATATTATCTGTCTCAAGAATATTGAGCCGCGCGAGCTTCATAACAACATCCTCCGATGCTCGTGCTGCAGCATGATATCGCATGAACTCATCTGCGTTCAAATGCAAAGCTTCCATATCCATCCGACTGTTCGGTTCAACTCGCATTGTCACCTGCCACATTATCCCGAAAAGACCGTACCTAGGAACAGCCGGGCGACTCCCCCATCTCTTTGGCCGTTTGGAGCAGCTGTAACATGGTCGAGAAACAAAACACAAGTCAACGGTATGCCGGTATGACATGGTATGACCACATCCTGATAGGGAGCTGTTAAGCCCAAAGGCATGTGCTGATTTCATGCTAACAATGGCCAAAATGCTTTATTAAACTATAGTTTACATTGATTCCCAACAGTTTCCACCATGGGGTTACATATGTTGACTATCAAGCGTGTTCAATCTCAGACCCACCTGACGATCCAAGGAACCCCCCAAGCGCCAGCTTGAAGAGATCGCCGCCTTCTCCACCAGCCCCGCGCGCGCAACACACTTCTTGGCCGTCGGCCTTAAGGAGGCAGAAGGATTCGACACCTGGAGCGCCAGGGTGGGCCACCCATTCCACCAAAAAAAATTGATGCTCAAAGGACAATCAAGAAATCTGAAGTGAACCTCAGATCTGGATGGAAAAATGGGAAAGTATAATATATTTTGGTTAATTCAGAATTCGGCTGCATTTAGTTGAGTTTACTTCAACTGCTTTGGGACCTGGGAGAAGAAAACAACTGCCTGCAGAAAGCAACGGTTCAATGATCTTGGACAACAAATGGTATGGCAACTGCAAGAAACGTGGGCACTGCAGGTTGAATTTTCTTCATAAATTTTGCACATCGCGTGAAGGCACACAACCATATTTGCTTGGTTTACACCAAGTTTAATGCACTCTCACATGGTTACAAGTCATCGCTTTTTTGGGGGGGCCTGTCGCTTTACATGGTTTGGTGCACTTTCTCAACACAACTGGGCCCTCCCTTAATTACTAAAGTAGTCTACGCTTATTTTGACCGCATCTCATGAAAATAGCTCATATGACCTCTGTGTGAAAGATTATTATAAAGCACCATCATCACCATCAAGGCGCATTCTGACAGGCTGAAATCCGTGGTGATGCCATGGCCGTTCACTGCCAGCGTTCCACCCACTGAGAAAGTTGAGTAGCTCTGCATGGTACGAGGAGACATTCCGAACTGATTCAAGTACAGAATCAAATCAGCCCAAGTACAGCCACTTTCACAAACAATGGTCCCTGAAGCGCTATCAAACTGCATCTGTGTCATCTTGGTCATGTCGATAACAACGCTGTCTGCAGCCATACTTTGGCCTCCCATGGAGTGTTTCGTTCCTCGGACTGCAACTCGCCGTCCTTCACTTCGAGCCTTTGCCAAAGCTCGTTTGATGTCATCGGGACTGCGGACATAAACAACTGCTCCCACAGCCTGGGTTTTGGATGGCTCCGCCCCAAAAAAAATGCTAGATTTCCCAAATGTTCGGTTTCCAGCTGGGAAAATCATAAATCACCGTAAATCACACCGTAAATCACCTTCAGCATCCTTCAGCAAAGCCAGGTTGCTGTGGTGTTCATGCGCGTGACATCATCCACCTTGATGTCTGAGCTGCTAGGATCAGGGTCAGGGTCTGGAAAGCACACATTACAACTTGGCCTGTGCACTGCTGGCTCCTCTGCCATTGCACTAAGGGCAAAAGACTAAGACTTCCCAAACCTTGAGGTTAAAACACTCCATTGATGCACAGCTTCTGTTATTTTAGATTCTAGAGGGCCTCACTCAAGATGGGGTTATTCCAGATGTGACTGGGACCACGGAGACATCTCCGCTTGCAAGGGGTGAAAGCAGGCCATACATCATAATCAAATGGCATTGAGGTGCTCAATTTTTTTTTTTTGCTTTGCAGGGGATTCAAGTTGTCGGGTGCTTCGGTCTTTGCGGAATGCGCCCAACATGTGCACTGTACAGTCATGGTTAGCCATGCTATGCAAGTTGGTAAGATGGCTTTTCAAGCTACACATAGCTACACCTGAAATCCCAGAGGAAGGGACTCTGGCTTGGCTCACCTACTCACTGGTCACCGCTCACTACATATGGAACACCTGGCTGTGTGGCTTCATCCGGCAGCTTCGATCCCAGGTCGATCCCATTTTTTCCGGTGACCCGCCTGCGGATCCGTTGGGCACCCAATGCTCCATGTGTAGGTTGTTCCGGAGGGGCAGACTTGAAGACCAACCTGGAAATCTGTGAATTGTGATCGTTCCAAGGTGATTTGAAGCTTGGGAAAAACTACAGGAAACCACGGGAAACCATCTAAAAGTCCGTAAGTTGAATCTGAACCATTCCAAACCACTAAATTTGGGACTCAGCATAACGCATTCTGAAACCAGATAAACATAGATAAACCAGAGTTTCCTGCAGATTCTACCCCCCCAAAAAAGGGTACCTTGCTGTAGATCCATCGAAATTGGCACCTGTCATGACCTCGGCTGATGCCAAGTGGCCGCATCGTCGTAGGCATATCCATAGACACTAGGACCTGGGATCGCCAACGCCCTGGGACTTCTCTTGGCAACCAAAAATCGGTAGAAATGGTATGGTTATCTTAAGTTATCCCACTAAAAAGCTGGTAAACTACATTGAGTATCATTGAGTATATATATATATATCATTATATTACGTGTACTCTATCTTTGGCGGGTTGCTGGAAACAATCAACTGAATTGTGGAAGTTCCTGCTAGTATGCCCTTGATTGCCCTTTCTACTTTCGCAGCATTGCCGACGAGCCGCAGTTCTGATGGATCAGCTTGACATAGGCTGTGTTCTCAACGGGCCCTCTCCTGAGCCAACGTGCGTGTGGTCATTGCTGAAAAAATCCCCGAAACTGCTGGAAATAGTAAGATCATCTGAAGTCTGAAAAAATTCCGCCTGCATGCTTCGGATGAAACGGGTGGAGTGGGGCAGCAGTACATTTTCGCGGCCTCACCTCAGTCGCAAATGTGGACTCCTTGGAGACTGAAATAGTTCCTCTTCAAGCTGATGAACGTTCACTTCTCATGTCCATCCGAGGCCCCCCCGGACGGGACAGGTAGAAACAGACAATGAGAGCTTAGTAAACCAAGTCTTGAAGAACGTTGCGCCGAGAAACTGTTTGGGGCATTCTTCCCCACAGGGTTGAACCAGTTCCTTGCGAACATCCAATGCAATGACATGCAACGAGCTGTCAAGGTCAAACTTGCCCAAATTCACAAGGCCTAGTCATGCCATGGCACGAATACGTGAGCTTTCCGCAAGGCGAATAGCATCCCACCACCTTTTTGGTCGTAGGATCGATGACCCGAAGATCCTGCAACACCCAGAGGCAGCGAAGTGAACTAAACACAACTTTGACAATTCGGTTCCAAAAAGCATAATTTGGAAAGGTGCAGCATCAATAGAATAATCCATATGTCTATACAGTAAATATATACCATTCGGGTTGTCAAAAAATCCCCATCAAAAGTATTCAAAAGCGTCATATGGTGGGGTATTCCGGTATTCCCCCTTTACACCTTTTACCATGGCATTTGCCATGGCATTTGCCATGGCATTTGCCATGGCATTTGCCATGGCATTTGCCATGGCCACCCGTCATCCATCGTCATCCCTCACCTGAGAGCCGCTTTGTTGCAACCACTCGTTGGCAGGGCACTGGTGTAGACCCAATCCTCTGCAGTCGATGTCCTTACCCTGACGCAGGATGACATGGGTAGCCAGCCTATGTTTGTTGAACATCAATAAGAACATATTGAAACATACTCAAACTATTTCAAACTAATGAAGTATATAACATTGTATATATATAATTTATATATATATATTATATATATATATATATAGCGGTGTCAAACCATTCCTATGTGAAAACAAGGAATGACCCTCGGCAGTTCTTTCGAAGAACGTCCGCCTGTGGGCAGTTGCTCACTTGCACTCGATAGGGCAGCCTTGGAGGTGCCCATGGTGACCACACAGCAGAAAACTGGGTGTGTCTGAACATGAGGGACCCCCATATCCCCATGTTATGTTTAATATAGCTAGTGAATGGGAAAATGACGAGAACACACACACACATATAATATATATATATATTAATATTATACATATATATATATATATGAAAATGATGGGAAAATGATGATGAACCAGCAGATTTTTAAGGGCGGCCCTATTTCAAGCTCGGAAGCGTGTAGCCATCCACTGCGCTAGTGTCCCACCAATCGCAGCCCTCACCAGCAAAAAGGCATGCAGTTGCTATTGAACCATGTGCAGGCGATGACAATCACAATCAAACTAGCAGAAGTCCACCAACCTTGTTGTCCTTGCGGCAGTCGACACCGGAGACACCAAAGCTTGCCTAAAGTCTAAAGGCAAAGGCAGTCATGCAAAGCATGGGCAGTCTGGATCGATAGAGGCCAACCGCTCTCAACATTCCAATCCACCAGCCACCAGCCTCGAATTTTGAATCTACTGGAGGCGCACCTCACACCCGTGACACTTCTCCAAACAGCCTCCAACAATGTTCTTCCATCAAACAGCACGTTTCACGTGCGTGTCACCATCTTTCCGCGCCAAGCATCATCCTGCTTTGGGGCAATCTTGGCCATCACCCCCACTAGATCCTGACAGACTCAGTTGGTTTTGTCACCAGCTTCTGATCCAAAAATCCCACCAAATCCCACCAAATCCCACCAGTTGCAGCTGGAAGACCCATGGCACACTTTTGACCCACTGCATTACACCCAATCTTTGGCCAAAATCGGGTGGAGCCTCACAGCACCATACATCTTGCAAGCTGATGCTGGAGCAACATCTTAGAAATTGCAACTTGGGAGCTTAATCCTCCTGCTGGAATATGATACTTGTACCTCAGGATGATGAATTGCAGGGGAAACTTGACATGTTTGACATGTTCGCACATCGACCTTGGTTTGACTGGGCTACACGCTCGAATCACTAAATGCCACCTGGTCACTCTCCATTGGGAGGTATCCTCACAAGTCAACAAAGATTCAGTTGCACCGCAGATCCCGGGTGACATGCCGATTCCCTCACAAACCTGCAATGAATTCTCTATTCTCACGCGCTACCAACCTCTCAAGTAAGATCATGTTGGACATTTTCACCCATTTTGGGGTGACATTTCTTGCATCGCAGGCGTCAGGGCCCGTCAGGGCCCATTTTGGGGCCTCACGTTGCGAGGTGCAGCAACATTGGCCGAGGAGGCAATCCAAATCTCCAGACTGGGGCAAATGTTCTTGACCTCAAGGCCAACTCAGGAAACAGCAAGTGTCGATGCTTCTTTTTTATAAAGCACAACGAGCAGAATGAGAGATTAACAAACATATCATTGGGATATAAAGTTTGAAAACATTTCCAACAAAAAAAACAATGAAACATCGGATATACAGCCAACAAACATTATATATATATGCGTATTTTTTTAATCAACCAAAATGGTGGTATAAAACCAGCAATCATAGTGGGATCACAATGAGAAAATCATGGGATTGATATGATACAACTGACATTGACTTTTGGGTTGGAGAAATTGATCGAAATGGGATAATGGGATAAACCCAAAATTGCTAGCTGCACCCATCGAATTTTGGGGAGATTTCTCCGCGTTTGTGGGGTGATCTCCACCTATGGAGGTGCTGCACAGTCAATGAAGAGCTTCAGTTGCAACATCAATCATGAAAATCCAGTGACTATTAATCATGCCTGACCCCAGTTCTGTTATTGACATTGATATACATTTATTATGATTTATTGACTATTGACCACTGGCTGTGGTATGCCATCCACACTTCCGAAGAGTTTCTTGCCGAAGGTCAATCAAACGAGGTTTCGATCCTGGCGGAACTGGAGCAACCTCAGATCGCCCGTGAAAGTGGAAGGTAACGTTTGGCTAAATATGCTAAATGACGTTCCACTTGGAAAACCCTTGGAGTTGTTGATATATCAATCTACAATATACATCAATCCACATTTTTTTTTGGTTGACATATATTAACGATCTACAGTATCTACTGGATCTAACATGTTTGCGCTTTTAATTGCCTCCTACGGGGTGCCCCTCCGCATCGCATCGAGATACCCCCAAGGTCGCAGGTGTCACTGGCGGCGGCGGAATCATCACCGCGGGCGGCATGGCGCCCAAGGGTGGTGCCGTCGGCAAGACCAGCGACGGCTGCGGTGCTGGCAAACCCAGCACTTCATCTGGTGGCTGCCTGGGGAGGAAAAAATTATACCCCAGAAAGATCCAGTCTATCGAAGTTTTTTGGGTACCGGGTTCGTATGATGATGCTTTGGGGTTTGAAGTTTGGAGGTGCATATTGTTGAAATCTGTTGAAGTTTGTGCTTTTGAAGGATGCCCAAATGATATTACTGTTCTTAACATTTCTAAAGTTGCGATGGGGCTAACAAGGGGATGTTTTCCCTCCTGCGCGGGAAAATGAAATGTCCAAATTTAGTCAGAAACATTTAGCTGTTTTCCAGCAACGCGCTGCGTGCCCGAATCACCAATCAATAAAGTGCTCTCGGTGTTGAGATCCAGCTGTGTAAACACTATATTATGATATATTATCTGGCTGGTGGTTTCACCCCCTCTGAAAAATATATAAAAATATTAGTCAGTTGGGGTTACTGTTCCCAATTTATGGCAAAATTAGAAATGTTCCAAACCACCAACCAGTTATGCATATTGCCCAACTGCAAGGCCATCAACAGCCGCTGCTCTGGGCTCTGAGTCTTCGGCAGCATTTTGGTCTTGTTATGACAGCCCTGCAGCCATAGGAGACAACCTGGCGCGGCGTCATGTCCACGGATGGTGGTTTGCTGGCTTTTTCATAGCATCACTTTTCCCTGAAACGTCCAGAAAAAATGCCTGCCTGCAAGGGCAGCTCTGAGCAGCATATGAAGCCATTGTTGGCTTTCCATCTGAAGAGAAACACGAGCAAAGGCGTGAATCGATCTTCACTTCAGCAAGGTGCCCAAAGGACAGGATATAAACGTTTCTGTCTAGGTTGCATTGAGCACAATAGAGCTTCGGTCAAGGGAAAGCAGCATGATATGGCGCGATCCACAGATACACGTGGGAAACTAGGATACTTGATGGTATGTATACTTGTATGTGCGTTTCAGAAAGGCCCTGTCTAACGCTTTGAAAATGCCACCGGTGGACAAACACCGGTAATCATACAAATGGCAGATCGATTCAAATTGCACGAACGTCATTTAAACATATCCAAATCAATATACAACTTATATTCTATTTATTGAAACTGTGTATGCTGAATGCATCCGCACTTTCGACCCTTGGATCCTTTTGTTGTTCGTCCGTCTCGGCAGAATGTCGCTCTTCTCCAGGCGCAGTGGCGCAGCTGAGGGATGGCGCTGGGGCCGCTGGGGGATGTTCAAGGCTCAATGGAAGAGGTGGCTGAGCTGCACACCACACAGACCTTGAGCTGGTTCACCATGGTTCACACCTTGTGTGGGTACCTCGCTTGGTGCAAAACTGCGGTACCATCTCGTCACTGAAGCTGCAAATTGCCACAAATAAGTGAATCAAAACAGCCATTGTGAATCCCGCAATCAACCCTGATTAGGTACGGTGAAATTGGGTCCGGCGTGTTGAAAGAATATTGAAGACTACCATCCCTTTAAAATTGAATGCCTTGAATGCCTTCGAGAACTCCGTATCTTCGGCGTCCCTCCCAAGTGCCTGAAGAAAACTTTCAGCCAGCAGAGACGTTGTCTGGGCCTGGCTTTGGTGTCTGGCAGCACCTGCAGCGGTCACTGCGTCCAAAGCAATGCACCCCGCAGGAGCTGCAGCGCCAGTCACCAGGCCATTCCAAGGAAGATGCGACCGATGGGATGAAGCGTCCATCAAGACCTGTATCCAAACTCCAGCCCTCCGCCAAGTACTGAGGCTTCAAGGCATTCACAAAACATTCCCTCCAAGACCGCAGGAAATCACGGAGAGATTCGGGGGAGGAGGCTGCAGCTTGCACCACGCGTTCACTTGGCAAGCTGCCGCTGCCCAATTTCTCGGCCATCGACAAATGGCCATCCCCAAGATCTGAAGCTGACATCCCAAGTCCCGCGGCCACTGCTTCCTGTAAAGCGTTCAACTTGGCAGCCGGAAAGCCTTTCCCCTTGTCGCCCTTCTTGAGGGTAATGGCCGCCTTCTTGGCGGCTATTTGCTGCGGGTTTAAGAAATTCTCATTGGCATACATGGATCCCGCACGAAGTGCACCATGTGCAGCAAACAACTCTTGCGTCAACGACAATTGTTCTGGCTCAGCTATGGCTCTGCATTTGGGACACAGCATCACAACGTCATGACAGTTGTAGGACTTGCACTGCCGGGGAAGGTGTGCAAAGAACACTCTTGGAATGATGTAATAACGGGCAACACCATAAGATGCACAGCCGACACATGCATTCCTTTCAGCAGCATCCAGCCCGGCATAGGCATAGTGATCTGTTGGAGTAAAGTTCAACTGAACAATCTCCAGATCGCCCTCTTGACATATTGATGCCATCCCCCGCCTCAATAATCCTTCCACCGTGCGATCCTTCATGTGCAATAGCTGCTCACCATCACTCCCAAAGACCGGTCGCAATCCAAACTTTGTGACGCACGAGTAGGCACCGCACTCCAGTGTAGCTTTGCTCCGAAGGGATTCCAGCCCATTGGGCTCCTCAGCTGTCGCCTTTTTCATCTTGCCGGGTTTGATGGTGCCACTATTCTTGTCGAGCAAGTCCTGGCACCAATGAAGAAGCTGCACCTCAGGAGGCCGGCACTTTCGAGCCAAAATGCGGGCACAGTCCCGACCGGCCAAAGCATCCCTGGCAGCGTACTCCAACTGCTGCTGGGACAATGGCCTCTGTCCCCAATTGGAACGACGGATCGCTGGATCTTTGGACAACTCAAGGCCCAACAGCAGCTGGGTCAAGGCTGCTAAACCGAGGGGTTGGGAGCTGGAAACCTCTCCCTCGCGGGCAGCAAGCCTGGATAAATCCAGGCAACCTCTCACTTCAATCTTGAACTGCTCTTTCAGCAAATCTGCATCCAAAACAACTGCAACTCCCACTTTGATATAGTGGGGATTGGCCAACATCGCCATTAGAGAAGGACAGTCATGAAGCGAAACCTCAGGAAGTAAGCAGAGGAGACACATGGACTCAGTTGCCAACTGCACCAGAGCCACCTGTCCCTGCGACCCCCATTCGGTATCAAAGCCAACAAAGCATGGCTCGCTGGTCGCACAACAAGATCCGATGATCCGTTCAGCCGCCTGAGCAGAATCCACCACTGTGACCCGTTCGGCTTCGCCATTCCAATCGACATCGAAATCCATGGCTCTCCCTGGGCCTGCCGACCCTTCACATCACAGAGCTGCGACCACAAGGCTTTGCGGCTACTAAGCTTGGTGGTAATGCGAAGGCGGCGAATTGTGCAGAAAAGCCTCCCATATTGGACTCCTTCTGTACTTCTGGTTGATACATGGCAATGGAACAGGGAAGACATGCAAAGTTTGGCATCAGGCATCCCGTATACAGCAAAGTTGTCGGGTTCGATTGGTGGGAGGTGGTGCACCTGATCGCAGGCTTCTTTTTGCAAGACTTCTGAACAAAAGTCCTGATCGTCCCCATGTCCTTGTCTTTGAAGGCCTTTTTGTGGGGCAAAAATAAGAACAAATGCCCTTTGGGCAATGTCCTGAAACTGCCATAGCTATCTTCTTGGAACAGCCCAAGATTGCAGGATGGACTGGGTCAGAACCCAGCCAGGCGACACGACAAACTCTAATATTAGCGCGCCTGTGCCTGCGTCCTGCCATCCTTCTGCACTTGGAGCTACTGTATATATCTGGTTTGTTCTCTTCCATCTTTGATGGTTCAAGGAAAAAGCAACCCCAAACCGCTGTTTGGAAAAAAAAGTTTCATCAGCTTTCAGCCAATACCAAACGCTGGACCACTGACCCACTGCCACCTTTCCTTTAAGACTTTAAAAGCTCTTCTTCCGTAGGCTTTCTGGTGCTTTTGCCGCAGTGAATCAGGACTCCATTCGCCCAGCGGCATAGATAGCCAATAGATCTCCTTCCTTCACGAATCCGCTCAAGATCCTGCGTGCATGGTATGGGGATTCAACCCCAAAGGTGACCCAAATTGGTGGCAGTTTTTATAAACCCTATAGTTAGTGAATCTTGGTGGATGATAAGCCCTGAAAAGAATGATAATGAAAAAAATAGTACAATACTGTTTGATAATTACTGTTTGAAGGTGATCTAAACCTTACATGGCATGCTGGAATCCGGAACCGATGGGCACCAACAACACATATGTATACATATGTCACATATGCTCCAAAGAAACCCAGAAGTCGCTCTCCTTCCATCTGTTCCGACAACCACCTGTCGCGGACATCGCTTTCGATCCCAGCCCCGAAGCGTTGACACGGAGCCCATGTCGCAGTAGCGGCCACTGGGAAGATTGATCTCCAGACCAGCGAGTCTCCAGTTGCCTCGCAAACAACGGCGTTTATGATGAACCGAAGGACCAGCCGGAAAAAAGTTGACCTTTTTGCCTGGGCATGAAGGCATGCAACTCTGGTTATAAAATGGAACAGGAGGTCATCTCAAAGGAAACCTCTGCACCTTAAAGTTCTCGCGTTCCTCAATTGCTCTCTATCTCTCTCGAATTGCTCTCTATCTCTCTTCTATCTCTCTCGTTGATCTTTTGTGTGATCCTTCTTTCGTGTTGCACTGCCGAATCTTGCTGTGCAAGTTGCCCAAGTGCCCCCATGGAGACTTCTGCTTTTCGTTGTACCCGCGCACCAGGGCCCCAAAGCACTCCTGCAGAGTGATTCGAGGATCGTCTCTAGCAACCCAAGTGTAACCAATGAAATTAATTATCGATCAACAGTTTTTTTTTTGAGAATGCTCAATTCCGCCAATTCAAGGGAACATGGCATCCTGCTAGGAATTGAAATTCCTGACTACGCCAAAATAAAGCATTACCATGTTCAATCTCTTTGACCCTGGCCCATTTTCATCAATGGATGGATTTACAATGATTTACAACCAGTGCTCTTCACCACCGGTTGATTTACATTTTACATGGCATTGTTTTTATAATCATTGGTTTCATTGACTAAATTTCCTTGTCATAGCTTTCAAATTTGTAGCCCATCACAACTCTCCTCATATGGGACTACAAAACCCCGGGTTTCTGGGTGGCATTTCACATATGAAGGGATGATATGTATATAATATATATATATATATGTAAAGATAGATAGATAGATAGATAGATAGATAGATAGATAGATAGATAGATAGATAGAGATAGATAGAGATAGATAGAGATAGATAGAGATAGATAGAGATAGATAGAGATAGATAGATAGATAGACAGATAGATAGATTAGATTAGATTAGATAGATTAGATTAGATAGATTAGATAGATAGATAGATAGATAGATAGAGATAGAGATAGAGATAGATAGATAGATCTAGATAGATCTAGATAGATCTAGATAGATCTAGATAGATCTAGATAGATAGATATAGATATAAATAGATAGATAGACAGATAGATATAGATAGATATAGATAGATAGATATAGATAGATATAGATAGGTATAGATAGATATAGATAGATATAGATAGATATAGGTAGATATAGATAGATATTGATAGATATAGATAGATATAGATAGATATAGATAGATATAGATAGATATAGATAGATATAGATAGATATAGATAGATATAGATTAGATTAGATTAGATTAGATTTAGATTTAGATTAGATTAGATTAGATTAAGATTAAGATAAGATAAGATAAGATAGATAGACAGACAGACAGATAGATAGACAGATAGATTGATAGAATGATGGGTTGATAGATTGATAGATTGATAGGTTGATAGATTGATAGATTGATAGATTGATAGATTGATAGATTTTGATTTGATTTGATTTGATTAGATTAGATTTAGATTTAGATTTAGATTAGATTAGATAGATAGATAGATAGTAACCTCAAGAAACTAGAAAAGTAAAAATCCTTGTAGAATAGTGATATATTTGACCTGTCTATAGCGTTCTAACTTTTTGGGCTCACTATGCATGGTTCTTTCAACATCCAAAGTGGTTGTGGGCCATCCTCGCCAATGCGAAAGGCCAGTTGCCCCGGGCTGACTTCTGGCGCCTGGCAAGGAAAGATCGCTGCGCCCCTCACTGAAATGTGAGAAATTATTTGTAAACACTTGGCAAAAAATTGGCAAATGTCTAAATAATGGTATGTACATATTATATCACATCATTTCATCATATATATATATATATGTATGTAGTCGTAATGAAAGATGCATTATAATTGATAACATGATAGGCAAACAATGGGAATTCACGATTAGGATTGGTTAGGTACTGGGTCAAAATAGAGAAGCCAATGGGCCCAGCAAATTGGTCATCGCATGAGCGCTGGTTGGCGGAGACCATGGGAGACCATCCAAAAATCTCAGAATCTGTTCACCAGCTTAGCATGTTCCCAACCTGCCAAGTGCGGGTGACGGGAAGGCCGCCACAAGCCTTGCGAAATTCCTGGCATAGCAGATCTATTTGGCTTTGGGTTCGTTCACCCTGGTACACTGGTGAACAAATAGCTGGGATTTATGGATGTTGAATGATGTTGATACCCTGCAAAAGTGACGTTGCTTATATATATATATTGTAAATATATACATATAATTGTTATAATATATATATAGTTCTCTCTCTCCTCTCTATCTCTATCTCTCTATCTCTATCTCTATCTTTTTTTCTCTTTCTCTTTCTCTTTCTCTTTCTCTTTCTCTCTCTCTCTCTCTCTCTTTCTCTCTCTCTCTCGCTCTCTCTCTCTCTCTCTCCTCTCTCTCTCTCTCTCTCTCTCTCTCTCGGTGCCAACTTTCAACCCATCCACATTTCTTAAGATGAAGGAAACAAAGAATATACATTACATCTACAGTATCACCTCTTCCTGCAAGTGAATGGGACATACCATTGAAGGGATCAATGGGGATGTATAGCCCGGGGAAGTTGTGGAACACCCCATCGAAGTAGGGTGCTTAGCAATCTGGTAGGCAACCAGCCAATTAGATGTTCAACTACAAACAGAATCCTGACCAAAAACAGCTTCTGATTGGGATGTGACTAAAAATGGGGTACCATTCACCCACTGGCTTGGTCATTCTGTCCTTAGCCATCCCAAAATCTGGGTCAGCCATTGTTTTTTCTATGGCACAATGGCCATTTGCCATGCCAAGCGACTATTAGGCCAGCCACCCCTTCCCATCGATGTTCACAAATCCACCGCCGCTGCATCGAGAGCTTCTTGGGCAACGGCGACTCGTAAGGAGTTGCCATACACCGGGCCTGGACGTGGTCTACCGACCAAAGCATGAACATTAATCCCATCCCATTACAGTAATATATATATATGTGTGTATATATATATATGGGATTTACACATAATTGGAGCCATTTAGGGGGTGTTTCACATAAAGGGGATGGGATTTCCATAATATCTGTGATAAACATCGGCCAACTATGAGATCCCTAGGCCCTAATCATCCCACATCACAGCGACGCAAGGAACAGGAGTTGGAGCAGCTGAGCATCCATTTCGATCCCCCGCCCTATCCGCCCTATCCGCCCTATCCGCCCTATCCGCCCCAGGGCTCGAGCCTTGCCATCCACATACACTGGCTCCGGTTGACAATGTGGACTTCCCGTTTTATCATTGCAGCCAGGAGGTCCATCACTCATCCTGGACCATCCATAGCCGCCCCATAGCCTGAAAAACGAAAACCACGACTGGAAGACGAAAACGGGTCACCCAACATGGGAGGTTGAATGCCAAATATTATCAGTAAGAAGGGCATTTGGAACTGCAGTATTTCAGATATTCCGATGACCCTGTACGTATTATCAAGAATAACAAGGCTTCTGAGTGCAATAAGTCACCACACGATATCTGGCGGTGGTGGATCAGGACCCTGCCAAGCAGCATCACGTTGACTCCTTTTGGCCATGCCAACATAAATTTTTGCTGCTGATTGTACTCCAAGCCATTCCTTCGCGTCACAAAATGGGACTCGTCGAAGCAACAACAATTACAGTTTTCTTGCTGCCCCCGTCCATCCATCTGTAATTCAACCCAGTCACATCTAATAAATACAATCTTGTCAAATCTATCGTCAATATTCATTTAGTACAAAACCCAAAAATAAAGAATAGATTGTTAATATAAATATGTATGGATTTACATGTATGCATATCTATTTATATATATATACTAGTATACGTGTGTGTGTGTGTATGTGTGTGTGTATGTATGTATGTATGTATGTATGTATGTATGTATGTATGTATGTATGTATGTATGTATGTATGTATGTATGTATGTATGTATGTATGCATGTATGTATGTATGTATGTATATATGGATGTATGCATGTATGCATGTATGCATGTATGCATGTATGCATGTATGCATGTATGCATGTATGCATGTATGCATGTATGTCTGTGTGTGTATGTGCGTATGTATGTATGTGTGTACGCACGTACGTATGTATTTATGATTATTTATGCATGTATGTATGTATGCATGCATGCATGCATGTATGTATGTCTGTGTGTGTGTGTATGTGCGTATGTATGTATGTGCGTATGTATGTATGTGTGTACGCACATACGTATGTATTTATATGTATTTATGATTATTTATGCATGTATGTCTGTACGTCTGTACGTCTGTACGTCTGTATGTATGTATGGATGGATGGATGGATGGATGTATGGATGTATGGATGTATGGATGTATGGATGCATGGATGGATGCGTGGATGCGTGGATGCGTGGATGTATGGATGCATGGATGGATGGATGCATGGATGTATGGATGGATGGATGCATGGATGTATGGATGCATGGATGTACGTACGTACGTACGTACGTACGTATGTATGTATGTACGGATGTATGATGTATTCATGTATGTATGTATGTATGTATGTATGTATGTATGTATGTATGGTGGTTTGTATGTAATTAATATAACTTTGTGCGTGTGTGCATATTAGACGCTTGCATTTTCCATCTATGTTCTGAACTGTCTGAACCACCATGAACCACCACTATTCTTCTGAACTCTCCATGCTGCATGGGACAGTCAATCAGGAAACAAGAAGTTTCACCTCGTTTCCAGACTTAACTACCCCACCTCCCAACCCACCACACTTGACTGTATCAAAAAAGGATTAACATATGTGGCAAGAGTCTTGTATGTAGCATTGCCTGGTTTGGCCTTCCATGTTCGTCCATCATGGAATGCGATGGGATACAAACTGGTCTCTGGGATGATTTCATCATGGCCGCGTTCCAGTGTCAGAACCTCCTTGAGTTTCTCCAGATTGGAATCTCCCAAGTAGTGCGTGAGCTTGTACCTCGTTTACCCATGATTGTCAATGGTTTTTCTTGGTTGGTTCACACTTGGCGGCCCAAATTGCTACCGGACATTGCCAAACAAATGGACAAGTGAGAATGACATTATCATTATAAAACCCCGTGTTGGAACCAGAGACAAACAATAACAAACATGTCTTATTAGCCATGCACCCCCACGCACAACAAAATCTTACCCCTTTTTTGGATGTGACTGTTGTTATATATATGGGTCTTTTAACTTCAATTTGTCAATATGCAATTGCAACAGGAGAATCGTCATCAAGACCAATCGGTTGTCCAAACACATGTCTTTCTGCCTTCCGGCCTGTAGGTAATATCTCGGAAGTGGCCAATGTATCGATGTCGCATGGGGTCCGGCTTCTCCCACCACCATTCCTGGTAGATGAAGTCCCATGGCACCCTGTTCAGCACGTGACTCAGTTCCTCAATGGACTCGAAGAGGGACAAATCCACCCGGAGCATCGTCACACCGATGTCCTTGGATGTGCTAGGGGAGGCCCAACAAAAGATGTCAGATACATTTTCTGGTAATGCAACATAGCTTTGGAAAATGGCCCATTTGTAGACGATCTATCTATTAATAAGTTGATGATTTTCCATAAGCTGTCTCGAATTACCAGAAGGTGCACAATATAAATCAATATAATATGTATTCCCCAGAAATTCCGCGGTGGATGTCCCATTGGGAAAAGTTCAAAAAAAATCACCATCTCAGCAAACCCAGGTGTCGTGAAGTTCCTGGACATGCCGCAAATGCATCTGATGGACTTCCGCCAGGCCCGTGTCCCAATCTGGCATCTTGAGGAAGTCGCAGCTGCAGCAACCTTGGCGGCCATTCTCTGTCGCGATGGTCAAATTCTAACCAATGAGCATGTACGTAATGTACCCATCTTTTTGGATATGCAAGTGTTACAAGGGTAGATGCTGGGAACAAAATGTAATTTCTCTGCAAAACAGATTGATGCTCCGGGTCCTATAGCAGAGGGGGGCTGGGGGAGGACCAAAGTCACGTCAGCAGAGCAATAGGATGACAGGAATCAACCAAACACTGAGGACCCCTGAATTGCTCCAGTTTTCCTCTGCTGTTTTTAGGCCCGAAGTTTTCCCCTCAAGTGAAGGAAGCATTCCAGCATCGTCCTTTTCAAAGGACCATCGAAGGAGATCGAAACGTGAATGTCATGTAATGTCATGTAAATGCTGGCTCTATGCTGGCTCTATCTGTCACAATCTACTCTCTGTGTGTCCCTACGGGTTTCTGAATCGACCATGCCACGGGCGGATGGACATGAAAGAACACATTTCAAATGGCAACCAACGCATTGGCCCCACAAACTGCCAACCCCAAGTCCCACCATTGATCCACCGTTGATCCACCACTCATCCACCATTATTCCATCATAATCCATATTCATCATTATTCATCCAGTATCGAATCCAGCAACTGCAACCCGTGCCATCGTTCCCTCCACCACCACAACTCCACCCAGGAGGTCCCACGAAGCAGTTCTCCATGAGGTCGGATCCTTGGTGATGGAAGAATTCCGGACCTGCCTCATCCCAGCCACGGGCCCCTGCAAGGCGGCGGTTGCCAAATAAACTGCCGTTCCATCCAACGCAGGGGGTCAGGTTTTTCTGATCTTTCAGATCCTTCAGGAAGCCTGGTGATCTTGATCCGCTGGTTTCAAGCAATTCTTTGGCTTCCTTACAAGGTGAAGCAATGTGATTGATGATGAGATCCACAATGACTTGCACTCCAGCGCGGCGGCACGCACTGACCATCTTGCTGAAATCTTCCATGGAACCTGACCTGGAACTCAGCGAAAAGGAGACAGGTTGATATTTGGTCCACCATTGAGGTCCAAGGATATGCTCCGTCACTGGTGAAATTTGGACTCCATCAAATCCATTGGGGCCTAGAAATTCTTCACATTCCTTCGCGATGTCCACATAATTCCACTCCCAGAGTTTCACAAATACTGGGTTGCGGCGAATTTTCTTAGCAATCAGTGGCTCTTGATAGTTGCAGAGTTCGCTGAAAACTGCAGGGCCAACCTTGGCCAAACTGTTTCCAGACTGATCTTTGGAAAACCAATGTTCTGTAGCATGCTCTAAGGCTTCCTTTGAAGAACACCTCCACAGTTCGCAACTGCCGACGGAAAACACAAAGGTATTTCCAGACACCTGCCAACGCGAAACCCGCACAAAAAAAATTGGCATCTGCTCGGATTTTTGTTGGAGTCAATTTCGAATGGTTGGGACGTGATTCGAAAACTGTTCCATGGATACCCCGCAAAATCCTGGAAATTCGAATTAATCCACGTTCTGGACAAATGCCAAATGGTACCGTGCCTTTGTGCGTGGCAAATTTGGCAAAGTTTGAGGTTTGGTGTCGCCGGTTGTAAATTTTCAATTTTTTACCATCAATTCTTAATCCGGGAAACAAAATTTTGTCATGTCGTTCACAAAAAAAATGCATCTTTTAGTTGTAGGCCATTTTACCTTCTGCCCCACAAAACGCCAAACAATGGCAAAAAATTAACACCCCGCCTTCCTCAAGGCTTCCAAACATTGCCTTTGGCCAGTGGTGTCTTGCCCAAATTTGTTCAATCCAAAAGTCTTTGCGTCAGTCAAATTCTGCAGCAAGACACAACCAGAATTCGTTTCTGGTGGGCGAACGTAACAACGCCTCACTGGCCCCAGTGGTGTGGTAAAAATAGCGCCGGCCAAGAATGGCAAGAAGCAAAACAGCGAGCGCAATCTTTGCGCCATAGCTCGGCAAAATGGAAAAACCGTTGGTAAAAACAACATACCAACCGTTGGTAAAATCCATGGGTTATTCAAACAGGGATTGGTTGCGCATCATGTTGCACATCGTTTTTTCCTTTGTTGTAATTTGTTAACCATGGCATCGATTTGTGCAAGCAAAGCTG